CGAGTCCAGAGAAGGGCAGTGGAGCTGCGGAAGGGTCTGGAGCACAGGTGTGGTGAGGAGCAGCTGAGGGAGCTGCAGTGGTTTAGCTTTGAGAAAAGGAGGTTCAGGGAAGATCTTATCAGTCTCTCAAACAACCTGAAAAGGAGGCTGTAGCCACGTGAGGATCTTTCTCTTCTCCCAGGCAACCAGTGACAGGACAAAAGGAAATGGCCTCAAGCCGAGCCAGGGGAGGTTCAGGTTGGACATCAGAAATAACTTTTGCACTGAAAGGATGGTCAGGGATGAATATGCTGCCCAGGGAAGTGGTGGAGTCACCATTCCTGGAAGTGTTCAGGATGCTCAAGTTCCAAGCATTTCATGCTATGGTTTAGCTGAAATAGTGGTGTTTGGTCAAAGCGTTGCCTGGAATCAGAAGAAAACTTTTCCAAACTATGTTAAAGTGCTATATATAATATAAATATAATATATTTTATAATATATAATATAAAGAGCAGCTCTTTAATGAAAGTTTTCAGGTGCACAGATACAGATATGAATGCAATATAGGGTTTCTACAATTTTTGAAAGGTTAGTTAATTAGTCTGTCTAGGAGGTACAACTAGTAGGAGAACAGTTCCCCTGGTGACCCACCCTTGGGCACCTTAGAGTGCCTCCAGGGGGTTCTTTGTCTCTCAAACCCTGGTGCAAAACAAGATGTCCTTGCTAGAAATTATTTTCTTGAAAATAAAACTAAACAGAACTTCAAGAGTGTGACATAATGTGTTAGAAAGAGTTAGTATTGTTCTAACATATGAAAAAAGGTAAGAAAGTTCTAGAAACTATAAAACGATATATTAAAAATCTACAAAACTATAAATAAATGAAAAAGCTAAAACCTTTAGGCTTCAAAAGTTGGACTTGATTGTGGAGGTCTTTTCCAACCTTAATGATTCCATGTGCATGATTAGGAGAACCATCTCTGAGAATTCTCTTTACAAGTTATGCTCTTCTGTATCTAAATTACAAGGAAATCATATTTAAATGTAGTTTTCCATTATCAAGTTAAATATATATGGCGATTTATATCTGGTTATTTCATAAAAGTTTATTTGAAATTAAAAGTATCCAAACAGTTTTAGATTTTAGATTTATTATATTTGCTTGTTACACATCACTGCCTTGTCTTGATCAGTAAAAGGAAATTGCTCAGTGTTTCGCTTTTCCTGTGAATATATTATCTTCTTTAATTTTCATTTAGTGTACTGTCTTGCTAAAAAGAGGTCATGAAACAACAAAAAGTTTTGAAACAACTCACTATATTAATTTCAAAGTTATATTTTTTTATTTGAATGCTGTGATTAAGATTCCATTGTATTTCATTGTGTAGACACAGGTTTAATTATCCTGAGCTTCTCCTGCTGTCCCTGCAGAATCTGTCCAAAGGATGCAAGCTCATGGGGAAATTGCTCCCAGAAATGTTACCTGTGTTACCAGAGAAGGTGAATCAGTGCTTGTGATTAATATAAACCAATACTCAGTCAAAAATGGTGCTGATATGTTTATAGGTAGTTGACCAGGCCTCCTAATATATGTGCAGCATATGTCAAACAGCCTGTCTGTGTCTGCTAGGATAGTTTCCATCTCTTGAAATAACATAGCCAAGTCATAAAACTTTATCTTCCACTGGCATGCACACCAGAGGTTTAGCCAATATATTGGTTTCAGATAGGGAATATGAATTTTCTGAATTCTGAGCTGTATCGATAGACTTTCATAGTCCAGATGGGATTTGGCCACTTTTTGTGTCCTTGCCACTTTTTCAGCCTGTAACTTTGTTCAGCAGGTTGAATTGTCATGTTGTTGGAAATGCAGAAGCCATTGTGGCTTATTCAGCAGCAGGCTTTCATCAGTTTGCATGCACTACTTTAGCACCACTGAAAATTAATAGATAGTGTGTCATGGAAAAAAGGTAGCCTCTGATTCTTGTTTATACATGTTTGAGAAACAGCAGTTTCCAGTGATGATGTATTTTAATTTGCCATATGTGTGAAAAGTTTAATTAGCATATTCATCACCCAGCCAGAAGCAGCGTTACGATTGCTTTCCCAGGAAGTTCATAAATTGTGCAATTCCAGCAGTCAGCTCTGTCTCCCAGAGACAGCTCTGCATCCTCCCACAGCAAGCAAAGTGAGTGTGAATGAGGACTTGGTCAGGACTTCAAAACAAATATGTCTTTGGTATTCTCTAAAAGCTGGTGGAAATGAGCATCTAAAATTCCTATTAACTTCAGCAGTAGCCTGTCCTGTGTGATGAAGATGAGAGGTCAGGCTCTGCTCTGGGAATATGCTCTTCTCCTGCATCCTGCTCAGCCTAGATAATAATTGTGGTCTTTTTTGTGTGCAAACCATTGGAGGCTATATTGTGGTCATTACCATTTTCTTCTCTTAGGGAATTAGATAATGGAACAGAATCCTGTAACTACTCTCTTGCCTGTCAACCCTATTAATCGGGTGTCACCTAGCAAATGGATTTGAAATTGCTGGAAACTTGTTCACTGGGCAGGATTCATCAAGGGGCTATCCCATCAAGCAAGGAACTGGGCAAAGAGCTCCCTCAAAGTTACTACAGCAATTTCATGTCAGATGTGCACTTATTTAAAATAAATTTAAATAATATGTTGGGATTAGTGGGTTACAAAGTATTTGCTGCTCTGACAGATAAGATACCTGTTAATTTCAGCAGTGTCCAAATGAATGCCAAGATATTGAGAACTTATTTTGCCCCTGTACTCTTACCTCTATTCTTATTGCCACGTATCTCTCAAAGCATCATGCTGTATTGGATAGACTAGCACAGTGCATTTTGGTTTAGGTCAAGGCCACTGAATTTGAAAGATGAGAATATATAAAGTTAGTTCATGCAACTGCAGAAAATTGTAGAGCAAAAGGAATCAGTGATTTAACTACTTAATACATTACACCTTCCATGCTGGTTACAGCCCGAAAGAAAATGGTATCTGTGTTCCTAGACCAATCCATGGTGGAAAACAAAGTCCAGTGAGGGGGGAGGATTAAGAAATCCACTTCAAAGGCACATTCATGTTGCAGGTTAAACCCTCAGCAGAGACACACCCACAGTGTTCTTGGTATTCTTGGACTCCATAGGGAGTTGTAATGTTATTTTCCTGCTGCAGAATTTATTATGATAACTGATGGTGTCATGAAAAAAGATGAGTATTTGAGACATGTAAAATTACACAACAGAAAGTATTGGCCAAATACTGCAGATGGCTTAAAGAGAAAAACCCAAAAAACCCAAAACAAATAATGAAACAAGAACTAAATAACAATTATTAAAATGCCTAGCTTTCATTAAGATGGGAAGAAAATTACCTCTTCATTAACACTCCTTGATTATTATTTTTTTCTTTATGTGCTGAGTATGGAAGTAGAAAGTTAACATAATATTGAAACAGAAAGAAAATAAGACTTTAATGAGGGTTTTATCAAAAGGTTAATAAACTCTCACCCACCTCATATCCCAATTTTGCTGTGCATTGCTTTTCAGTGCTCATTCTCTATAAATCCTTACAGTTATATTTCATTAACATTTAAATGCATAATAAAAAAAAATTAAATTGATACATGTTTGAAATATCATTGCAAGAAATCAGACAAAAATTTAATTAAATTCATTTGTTTTTGACCAACAGTATTATATGAGTATTTAAAAAGAAAAAATTAAAGATGACATTGACTTAACTAAGCCTTTATTTTTAGTGGTTGTCCATAAAATTTTGCAAGTATTAGGGAGAAGGGTAGACATACTTTATATGTTAAGTTTAAACATAGGAGCAAAACGGCCCCTTCTTGGGACTTAAAATTGCATAGATTTCAGCAGGTTTATTGCAGTAAAAAGAACAGCAGATTTTCACCAATAAAATGATGTGTTGGCTTAGATAGTGACACCTGGCATGCAGTCTTGTCTGCTTATCTGTCACATTTATGATAACCAAGAATGTGGACAGAAAACTAAGTTGGAGAGTTAGTGTGTAGTCAGCAATACTGATTAGGACAAGATAATCAACCTATATAGTATGTGGGTGAAGAGAGAGGAAAACAAAAAGACCCCAACCAATTCATTTTGATAACTCAGGTATTATTTCATTTTTATTACTAGAAAAAAAAACAAAATAAGCTATGAATCTTGGAACTTCAGATGTACTTTATCTTTTAAGTTACAGTTTTCAGTAGGTTTGGATTTTTTTGTCTTAATTGTAGTTTTGTCCATTATTTATTTGGTCAGTGCCTGACAGAATGAAGCTGCTGGTTATTTGGAATTCCCTTATTTTAACACATGGATTACACATTTCCAGAATAAAAAAGAAATTGCTAGAGAATATGCTGTTGTTAATTCAGCAGGATGTTATTGCTAATGGTAGGTGTCTCCCTGTACCTTTAGGAACTGTCACTACTACTGTGATTTTCATTCAAATTAATTTCTCTAAGTGTTTTTACTACCTAAGTGGTAGCTTAGTACTCACAATTGCAGTGTTCTGTTAAAATTTTTAATCTTTTTAACCTCAGTATCATTGTTGCATCTCATTAGATGGTTTTAATGCCACGTACTGTATGAACAAAATGTTATCCAGTGCACTTTTCATCAGCTGGTAGTGTAAAACAAACAAAACAACATAGCCTCTTTATTTAGATTTCTCATGACTGTCTTTCTTACTATGAATTTGTGCTAGCTTTTTATTCATTTTACTAAAACCTTCAAGATGAAGTGACCTAACACTGTTTATTTTGGTAGCATTACTCTTTTCCATCCCTCTTTGCTTTTGATTTTTCTGGTGATTCCCTTTGTCCTTAGCTGCCACTATCCTTGTGTTTACCCCCACACCAATTCTGAGCAGAAATTTGTCTACTTGTGTTTTATGGCTTCCCATGGAGTTTTAGGACTATTCAGCCTTACTGCTTATGCTATGGTTAATCTAGACTGCCTGTGTTTTTATTTTTCAGGAAACTGAAGCAGCAGTGCAAGCTAAACAGCCGAATGTGGAAGAGGTTTTGTCTAAAGGGTGTCATTTATATAAGGAAAAACCAGCTACTCATCCAGTAAAGGTAATGAAGCAACCTTTAGCAATATCCATTACTGTGTAATAGGTTATGCTTCCCCTGTTGTACACTTGTCCTTGATGTGCTCTGTTTAAAATCAATAAAAGAACCTGGCAAATGGCATTTGTTCTGTTCTGTGATGACATAACCAGGAAAAATGTAATGTTCCCAGCTAAAAGTCTTTTGCATGTTGTGATGGGAATATTGTTTTTGACATTAAGGTTGTTTTACTCATTTAACAGTAATTCACACTGAAAGCAAATGTAATTTTTGGTGTGTAATTAATGGCAACATGTAACTTTAAACGCCTTTATTTTAAATTTCACTTTCAGAAATTTTGTCAAATAAAAAAAAAAGCAAATTTTCTAGAAGAGGTAAGAGTTATAAATAGAATACTTTCATTTGGTTTTTTTCATTTTGAAAAAAAGAACACATGGCAACATAGCACTTTCTCACTCAATTTCTCTGCCAAATTTTATCTAGAATGACTGACTTGGTTGTCTTTTGGAGCAGAGGACACATTGTTTGGAAGATTATGCCTCCCAGCACTTCTCTTTTAGAAAAATGTACTGTAGAATCCTTTTCCTCAGCTTACAAATCAGTTATAAGGGGATATTTTACACACTTTTCCTAAAGGCTATGAGTACCTTCATTGAGGCTAGAGTGTCATTTTCTATCCTGTGGAATCTTAAAGTCATCAGCAAGCATCCTCCCACATCTGGTTCAGCTGCTTTTAAAGCAGGAGACCAAACTAGTGATGTCAGTTCCATACAACCAGAGCTTGGGCAGTTTTCTAGTGTTATAACTGCTAATTAAGTATCTGTAAACATGATGATTAAAAGTTCCCAGCAACAGTAATAGTGGCTTATTGATTACACTAAGTATCTATTACAATTGCTTCTGACTGGGCTGAGATAACAAACTTTGTATTTAGAGCTTTTCAAAATGTACAGAACTCCAAAACCACAGAAAAAGGCAGAAAAAGGGTTTCTTCACAAAGATAAAATGTCTATAGGTGATCTCAGCAGTGAATTTCTTGGTTTTCTGTCTATATTTAGTCACTATTGCTGGAGGATTATTTTCCTACTTCTACAAAATTTCCTCTGAATTACTTGTAAATCCCACCAGCACATGAATGAAGTGATGTCCACTTTAGAAATTAATACATGTTTAAGAATGATTTGGTTTCTTGTCTTCTTTCCTGGACAGAAATGCTTAAGAGTTATTATCCCATTTGGTATATGTACATTTTTAATGATCAGTTCTCCTAAACATGATAAAATGCTACAAGAGGTAAACTAAAGGTGACTTGAGTGGGCACAAGCAAGACTCTGTCGGGTGTTTTCCTTGGCTAATAAACCCCTATTTTTGTTGGGAACTGAAATGTCATCTACACACATTCCCCAGTATCTGCATTTACTCTTTTTGTGTGATCAGCTGCAGTCTTTGGGGACCTTTATTCCACAGCAGAGCTCTCAAAACAACAGAAAGCTAGAGGTTTTGGCTTTCTGAATTTTTTTAATTGCATAGAAAGAATTGCAGAATGAATGCTGGTATTTTCAAGAGGAAGAGCTAGTAATTGTTTTACCTAAGAAAGACAGAAGTATAAATGGTGTTGAAATTATTCTGTTTAGCCCAAAATTCTGACACAGAAGTATACTGTGTCTATGTATTTTAAGTGTTCACATCAAAGACTGAAACTCGACAATTGTTACCAGATTGACTGGAAAAAGGTGACTTTTAAAATTACAATATTCCATGAGTTTTAATTTCAACAGTGATATTGTAAGACGTACCTGTGAGGAAATTAATAACTTGTGGAGTAGTGCATATTTAATTTTTAGTCCCTCTTTCATTGTATTTTATTTTTTTCTTTACATTCTGTAGTTCATTTAACTGTGCAACCTGTGAAGTTAATTTCTGGTTCAATGTCTGTCTAGGGCAATAAGTCATAAAGCAGTGGTTATATATATATGCTGTCAGAACTGTTGACTTGCTTTCTTGATGCTCTAGGTAGATTTCCTTAAGTCATCATTCTTCCTGAGTTACTTTCAACACAGTCTGCTATGTATATGTTTCAACACAGACTTTTGGATTAACATCAAAATAATTTTCTACACAAAAGGTATTTTGTGGAAGCCAAAATAATTTTTGCTCTGATTAAGATGGCTTTGGAAAGATATTTAGCAAGTTTGCAAAGCTAAGAACTCAAAATTTTAGAAAATTATTTAATTAGAGCTACTCTGGTACCATTGTTTTAGGCTGAACCCTGCTTAATTCAGTTCAGGACATGGACATCACTCACAGTAGAAGAAGCAATTCAATACTTAGACTCATAGCTCTTATTTAGTGTGTGGTACAGAAAAAAAAGATAAAATTACATGCCCTCTTTAAAAACATTAATCACTTGTCTAGCATTGCTTGACAAATTTGTAGATTATTTAGTTCTCTGGGGCAGCTTTGTTTTTGTTCGTCCATTATTTCCTTAATTCACCACAAATCTTCCCATTCTTTTCAATAAATGAAGTAGAGGTCCTATTGACTTATTCTCACCACAAGCCTTTCCTGTGCTCAAAAGCAGTATGTGCCAGAAAATTAGAGATATCCCTGCAATTTATGTGCATTTTATCTGAAATAATGTATGTAGTTAAAATTATTCTGGCATTTCCTAATGTTTAGCTGCTTATCTTTGCAACCTTTAAAATATATTCTCATTATAGTATTTTGAATGTAAATTAAATCTCATGGATTTATATTGACACATACTTAATCTTATCTCATAGTTATGTCACTGAAATAAGTATATTTTTACACCTTCACTAAGCATACTAAAATAGAATTTTGCAATGCAAGTCTGTAAAAACATTTTTGTTGGCAAATGAAATCCTTGTATATGCTGATTCAAGAGTCAAGAATGGGATGACATGTGTGATCCTTTAAGTACTAGCACTTTAATAATCAGACCTATTCACTTTTATAAAATGGTTTTCATGCTTTTGAAATGCATTTCTGTAAAGCTTTTGAAGGTGAGGGAGAGAGAGGTTTACTGCTGGTGTCAGTGGCAATAGAAAGAATGTAAGCCCCAACCTCATGATTAACAGCACTTAATCAGAGCAGTTTATTCAGGAAAGGATTTCTGTGCCAGTGGAAGAGCTGTGGTTCCCTTGCCACATCACTCAATTTGTCTTTTCCTCTGGTGGGTGAGAAGTAAGTAGTGAGGAATTTATTTTCATTGTCGTCAGTCTTGCATTTAAAAGACTACATTTCTCTCTTTAAATATTCATATCTAATTTTAGTGCTGTCAGTAAGATTAGTCCACATAAGGATGTTAACATCACTTAAATTGCACCAGTGTTGACATTTAAAGAAAATCTATAAATTTTTTGCTAAGTGCAACATATTTGGATGTTCATGCTTGTCACAAGAACTCTAGAGTTGCAATTACAGCAAAATTTTTGTGCCCAAAGAATTTAACATTTTAATGCATGCATGTTAATTTATGCCAGATGCAAGATCAAACTAATTTTGATAGAACTGGTTGCTGTCTTATTAGTGGTGTAGCTGTTGCCCCAGACAACCCCTCTAACTTGTGTGGTGGGCACGTTTTACATTTGGTCATTGCTGGAAAGAAATCTCTGGATCATATATGTAAAAATGATTATGTAGCTACTCATGACCAGGACCAATATTAGAATCATGGAACAGAGCCCAACTCCTGGATCTGCATGGGACAGCCCCAGAATCACCCCTTGTGCCTGAGAGTGTTGTCAAACACTTCTTGACCTCACACTGGCTCGGAGCTGTGCCCGCTTCCCTGGGGAGCCTGGTCTAGTATCCAACCACCCTCTGGGTGAAAAATCTTTTCCTGATATCTAAACCATCCCCACTACCTCAGAGTCTGTGTGTGTGTGTGAGTACATACATACTTCAATTTAATGAGCACTGTTCTCCATCCCTCTCCTATTGACCTCTGTCATCTTAGACTCCAGGTAATTAAAGTACCTTTCTTAATAGGCATCCCGTTCCTATCACGGCTGGATTATGATTTTTACTATGTATCTAATTGTGGATTGATACCATAGAATACTAAAAGCCTTCCTGAGCTGCACCAGTACTCTGTGCTGCTTTTTGTAGCAGAGAATCAGAGAGCAGCTTAAAAAGAAATGCAATCTTCATTTTAAGAGTTTAGACATGTCAGCATAGAATTAGCAATGCTTCATCCTTCTTTACAATCCTGAAAGCAAGAAAAAAAGAGAGGTAGAAGCAGCATTTTCAAATCTAAATGCCTCTCAGGGTTATCTGAGGACTGATGTTATTCACACTCCAGACTTTCATGCAGGTTTTGTTTAAAAGGAACAGTTAAGCCATTGCTACACAGGACTGTGTGCTCACACTCTGAGGTTTATGGCACCCTGAAGACTGCTAAGACTTTTTTTTTTTAATATATAATTTTAATAGATGGAAGAATAAATTCTGCATTTGATGTTAGAAGTTGCAGAGTTTTTATTGAAAAGCTTTTTGAAGTACATAACCCCCCTTTTTATTTTAATTTAAAAAATTACCGGTTCATGTTCACAGTGGTTAAAAGGCAAACCTCTGATGCTGGGGGGAAACGGGCTGAGCTTGGTCCAGGAAGTCACTCTGTGCTCAGGATCAGGCACCTGTGCTGGTTCTAAGTTGGCTCTGAGCTTCAGCAGCCAAACTTTGAGAAGAAAAGATGCTTTTAGGACCCTGACATGAGGAAACTCTTTTGTAACACAGCTGGAAAGGATTTTACTTGTACCTCTCCCCCATTTGTGAAAATTCGTTGCTGTATCTTTCTGTTTTGTATTTTTTTTTAAATTCAGGTGATCCACCAGATGAAAAAAAAAAAGCCCACTTGTTTTATTTTGCATTTATTTACATTAATTTACATTTGCTTACATTACAAATCCATGTTGGATGGGGCCCTGAGCAAACCGATCTATTGGGTGGCATCCCTTCCCATGGTGGGAGGGGAGCTGGAACTAGATGGTCTTTAAGGTCCTTTCCAGCCCAAGCCATTCTGTGATTCTGTGATACATTAATTTATGTATTATGAATTTAATATTTTGCTATTTTCTATTCTAGAAAACGTTAGAAGACTTGAATGCTGACTGGAAGGCAATACACCACTTAATTCAACAATTGAAGGAAAAGCCAGCATTAGCAGCATTTGGCCATCTATCTTCAGGTGTCTGTAAGTGCTTCAGTATATGTATTTTTTTTAACTGATTAAAAATCACACAGTTAAAATGAAAATGGCTGGAGACTGTCTAAATTAATTCTGCATCCTTTAAAGTGCTACTATGACATTCAAGTTGTTTTTTTATCATTGCCTTTCTATTTTATTCAACGTATCCCAGAAGACAAATTAGATTATGATTTGATAAAAAGGTTGCAGAATACTTTTCAAATTATTACTGTTTCAAAGTGATTTTTCTTTCATTCCATCAAGAGGTGAGATTTTGACTTTCTGCATTTACTAATGGAGGAAATACTACAAAGGGAGATAAATTATTTAAATTGAAAGATAATAATGTTTTAGGTCAAGTGTCTGTAGATTGGTCACAGAATGAAATTCTGAAATTACTGATGGAGAAATAAAGGGAGGCTGTTTCAAAATGAAGCTTGTCTATTAACAGAGAAAGTCATATGTGACAGCATGGTAGGAGAAATTCTGCAGTTAAACACTAAGTCTATGATTTATATTGCTTCATGTCTTACATTCATGCATATGCAACAAGACACCTGATCTCTATTTCATTTAAATTATTTCAACAATATTTATATTAGATTATACTCATATCTCTTTGTGGCTTCTTGTTCTCTACAAGGATTGCAAACTCTTTTTTTTTTCTTCCTTGATAAATGGATTTTATTTCCTCATGCTTTCCTTTGAAATGTAGTGATTAAACATGGCTGAAAAAGAAGTGCTTAATGGAAGCACGGTGCTCAGTCTGAGTTTCCAAAGTCTCTAAGACTCTTTACTGGATATTGAACCATTTCAGTTGCTTGAATGAAGAATGTTACCTACATAATTTGTAAAGCTGCTCATCATATGTTGGAGCAGAAAGAAATCTGTCCCCCCAACACCTGTCAGACTGCCTGTAACTTAAGCTATGATATAGCTGCAGTAATCTGGAACTGTATTACATGTGGGTTGTTGGTCTCTCTTGTTTTTAACATTTTCTAGTTACATGTTTCATACAAGAAAAGCTAGAAGTGGAGAATTCTCTACCTTCTAATAGTGGTCCTCTGGGACAGCAAAGCAGAAAATCCTTTTTTTCAGAGAAGTACATAATTGCTCCATAGAGACAGAATCCAGAAATTTGAGTACCAGAAAACAGTCCAGCTCCTGCCCAAATAGCATATGTTCAAGAAAAAGAGTTGTCTTGCTTGTGACATGTTGAATCTTACTAAAATGGAACTATTCTTTGAGCTAAGTCCCATAGAACTGCTGTGGTTCCAGTGGCAATTATTTCAATTTTCTAAAAAGAGATAAATGCCACTACTATATTTATAAACAAGTAGTACAACAGAATTCTAGCTTTGCATGATTTTGTTCCAAGGCATTCTACAGGAATTCATGTGATGGCATGGGGGGGAATGAAGGAGATGTGTAATCATTTCTTGCTGTGCTAAACTTGCTGTGTCAGTTTTCTGTATGAACAGGTTGTGTCAGGTTCCAGAGGGAAAGAGTATTGGCAAGTTGTGTGTTTTCTGTTACAAAAGAAATTATAATAATGGTACAAGAGTGAGAATACAGAGTAGTAATGTAATATATTTTTATATTACCTCATCTCTAGCTGAAGAATTTCAAAATTACCTTAATGGAAGATGTAGTCTCTGACTGCTAATGTTTCTGAGACTCAGCGGTTGGAATTATACATGCAGAAAATGAAAGCACTGGTGTTCTAGAAAAGATTAAGCAGGAAGTAAGATTGATTTCCCTTCATTGTCACAAGCACTTAAAATTTAAACCTGTGCTTATAACACTAATTCATAATTTTTCTTTATTTGAATCAGTTTACTGTGATCACCTCATTATAGGTGTATTGACATAGAACTGTAGAGTTCAAAAAGAACCCAGGGAGACATCTATTCTTTTTGCTCAAGGCACAGTCGATTAGTGCAGGTTGCTCAGGGTCATGTCCAGACAGGTTTTTAAAATCTCCACGGATGGAGACTCTACAACCTCTCTGGGCAACTTTTTCCAGTGTTGAGCAACTCTGACAGTAAAAAAAAAAAGTTTCTTCCTCTATTCCAATAGAATTTCTAGTATTTCAGTTTTCACATGGTGGTTCTCCTCCTGTCTCTGGGATTTACTGAAGACAGTCTGGATCTGTCTTTACTCCTCCAATCAGATATGTAACCACATTGATGTGATCCCCCTGAGCCTTTTCTTCTCCAGGCCAAGGGAGCAGGTTTCTACAAAGATAGGAAAAAGATATCTGCTACTAAGGTATTTTTGTATTGCATTTAAAAGAATGGGAGGAGAGGAGGGAAGAAATTGAATGTCATGGGTCTAGTCATCCTGTAGTATAAGTTCTGCCATTATTTTAACCACTCATGTTATAGATATTTTTTTTGGTCTTATTTATTCTGTGCTGCTGATTCTCATGTACCATAGGGACTCAAACTGGCTGTGGGAGAACCAGATTTAACCAAGCCTCCCAAAAGCTAAACAATCTCATTAAAGGTCATTTGTAGAGAAAGATACACAAAATTATCTTGGAAGGGTTTTGTGAAGGAAGGTCACTATCTCCTGTTGACAGTTATTCACTTCCTGATCCTATAGGGACTTTTAGGGACATCAGGATTGAATAATATTAACATGTGTATTTGAGACCAGGGAATGAAGATGTAACTGGCTCATCTCTACTGCCTTGTCAGGTATCATTTGGTCTGGTCTGGTTACAGGAACTCAGACAGAGAATCTTAATAAATTCCATCTGGTGGCTCTTACAGAGGTAAAGCACCCTAGCTGTAATTATTTCTAGATCTGCATATTATAGCTTCTTTGGCAGAAGAAGCATTAAAAAGTATTTCTTGATATTCCACCAGTCCAGTGTGCCCTCAGGCATAAGGAACAAGAATTACTTCTCCAGCTCAAAAAATGTACTTAGCTGAAGGGTATGCCTAAAACCTTAGCAAAGATTGACTTCCAAAATAAGATGAATCAGGAAGAAAATCACTCTTGCTGTCTGTACTTGACAGGATAACGTGAAACAGTGTGAATGTCTCTATCCAAATACCTTGCTTAGCCAGCAGTTTGAAAACATTTTAAACAGAGAGAAATGCAGTTCTGGAATGTGTTTTTCCAGGAGGGAGCATTGTTTTTAATAGTGTCATTAGCATTCATATGACTTCTTTTTCTTCTTTTGTACTGAAGTGCTATCACTGTATTTACTTAGTAAGTTAGGTAAAGGCACACACTGCTTTGTAAACCCCTCTGAATGCATTCTGGGGTGGGAGGCACTCCTGGCTTGTTCTGGAGAAAGATATTTTCCATAATCTGTCTTCATTCCAGTAAGATGCCAGGGAAAGTTTTGGCCACTTGTATTTAGAGCTACCTTGAAAATACAATTTCTTTAAAAGGATGTATATTTGTTTTCAGTTGTGCTATACTTGAAGTTGCTGAAATTTTAACACTACAAATGAATCCAGCTGAAAGTACTCAGTCAACTAATTTTACATTTTACATATTCATCTAATAAAACTGTGAGTGATATATTATCTTAATAGTCTTGCAGTTTTACTTATTCAGTGAACAGTTCTTTGTGTACAAGCAATTTCTTTTCTCTCTTGACTGCTTACACAGGTTTTTGTCCTTTTTTCTGTCTCTTTTTTTTTGTACAAAATGCCTAATCAAGTGAAATAGAAAAAAAAGTTGAGTGAGAATTACAATGAGCTACAATGGTGAAAATTCTTCTGAAATTAGTTGTAACTTGTCCCTTTAAACTTAAAAAGTTATAAATCTTATTTTGGAGCATTGTTTGTAGGAGGTCTGAAAAAAGATATAGAGGTAAAATGATTGCTTGTGTTTAACAGATTATAGCAGGGTTGCATTTGACAGAAAAGCTGTATATGCATGGTTAGGTGCTGTACACTTACTACAAATAATTTGAGGAAAGCTAATACTGCATCACCAGAGCTCACCATCAGCTTTAGGTATCTTTCTTCAAATGCCTACAATCGATGTCCTTCTGTGCTTTCAGTATAACTTGCTTTAGGAGTAGTAGTCAGACACTGCAGACACAGAGCCAAAGACTAGGCTTCCCTGTAGAGGGGAAGAAAGCTTTTTAGGATTTAGAATGGATGAGGAAGAATGGAACAGGAGTGAGGTGTCATGCTGAGTCCATTAGACTCAAGTTGTAGTGTGAGGCCTGTGAGCTGAAGTTCACCAGCAGTAATGGTGGTGGAGAGAACTCATCACTTATTAGCCCATATATTCATCTGGGTTCTAAAAAATATTCGCAGCAGTCAGTCACCTCCAGAGTCTATAATACCTTGAGTCTTGGGATTTGAATTAAAATAGTGAAATTTGTGAATGTGGGGAAAAGTAGTGAAACAGTTTCATTGCTTATCCTATGGTATTTTACATGCAAGAGTATAGCATGTCTCCTTCTGTCTGGGAAATACAGTTTGTTTTTTATTTCTCTGTGAGGCAAGTCCTCACCTGGACTAGTCATGCTGCTTTGTTCAAGGCTTGTAAGATCATATACAACAGTTCTTGAAAAATATCAGTTACTCTGTGTATGCACTGCTGTGGCTTAATGCAGCTGGGATTCATATTCACTGCTTGCAATATATAACATAAGGGACAACTTCTGGTACTATATATAAAAATAAACTGTTCATGAGTCTAGGTTTTTGAGGAAACTTAGCCCTAAACAAAAGCATGTATGTGAAAATACATACCTTGATCAAATAACCTAAGGTTTAAAACTAAAATCCACTTAGCTCAGAAGCTGAAAGTGCTTCTGTAGTGCTAATGCATCTAGATGTATTGTATGCATCTAGGCTTTTCTTTTGTCTTCAAAATGCATAGTTGAGTTTTTTATTATTCCATACTGGTTATTTCTAAAATAGGGGGATGTAGAGATGGACATAACAGTATCCTGCATTTTGAAAACTATCCTGATAAATCTCTGACACGAGATTTATTTTCATATTTTCAGATAAAGGATTCTTTAT